CCCCCCCCCCAGGCGCCCCACAGTTCTCGCATTTAAAGTGTGCCATTCAAGGGTGCCTGGGGGGGCTCAGTCGGTTCAGCGTCTGACTCTTGATTTCGGCGCAGGTCATGATCTCCCAGTTCATGAGTTCGAGCCCCACATCGGGCTCTCTGCTGACAGGGCAGAGCCTGCCTGGGATTCTCTCTCTCTCTCTCTGTCTCAAAATAAATAAGTGAACTTAAAAAAAAATAAAGTGTACAACTCAGAGGCTTGTAATATATTCACAGAATTGTTTGATCACCCCAATATTAGAACAACTTTATCACCCTAAAAAGGAACTCCACACCCCTTCACCATCACCTCAATTCTCACACCCCACCCCAGCCCTAGGCAACCACTAATCTACTGTCTGCCTTGCACATATGCCTGTTCTGGACATTTCATATAAATGGACTCATACGATACCTAGTCCCTGGTGACTGGCTTCTTTCACTTGGCAAAATGTTGTCAAGGTTCATTGCCTTTTGTGGCCAACATAATATATTTTGTACAACCACTTATCAATTAATGGACATTTGTGTGTTTCTACTTCTGGGATATTATGAGGAATGCTGCTGTAAACATTCGTGTACACATTTTTGTGCAAATACATGTTTTCATTTCTCATTTGTCTTTATTTTTTTATTTATTTTTGGGACAGAGAGAGAAGAGCATGAACGGGGAAGGGTCAGAGAGAGAGGGAGACACAGAATCGGAAACAGGCTCCAGGCTCTGAGCCATCAGCCCAGAGCCCGACGCGGGGCTCGAACCCACAGACCGCGAGATCGTGACCTGGCCGAAGTCGGACGCTCAACCGACTGCGCCACCCAGGCGCCCCTGTGCAAATACATGTTTTCATTTCTCTTGAGTATACAGCTAGGAAAGTAATCGCTGGGTTAGAGGCTAACTCTATGTTTAGTTTCTTGGGTAATTGCCAGATGGCTTCCAAGGGGAAGGCATCATTTTACATTCCCAACTGCAGTGTAGGAGGGTTCCAACTCTCCTGTATCCTGACGAACCCTTGTTATTATCTGCCTTTTTGAGTTCTAGCCATCCTAGTGGGTGTGGGTATGAGGCGGAATCTTACTGTGGTTTTGGTTTGTGTTTCCCAGATGGCTGATAAGGTGGAGCACCTTTCTTTCTTTCCATTTACCTATTTACTTTTTTAAAGGATTTTTTGTTGGAGACAGAGAGAGAGAGAGAGGCAGAGCGCGGGCAGGAAAGGGGCAGAAAGAGAGGGAGACACAGAATCTAAAGCAGGCTCCAGGCTCTGAGCTGTCAGCACAGAGCCCAATGGGGTCTTGAACTCAACAAACTGTGAGATCATGACCCGAGCTGAAGTTGGACACTTAACTAAATGAGCCACCCGGGCGTCCCTAAAAGATTTTATTTTTAAGTAATCTCTAGGCTCAATGAGGGGCTCAAACTCACAGCCTGAGATCAAGAGTCGCATGCTTTTCCGACTGAGCCAGCCAGGTGCCACATAGTGGAGCATCTTTCCATGTGCTTATTGGCTATTCGTGTATCTTCTTGGGGAAAATGTCCACTAGAGTCCATTATTCATGCATAAATTGGATTATTTGTCTTTTTACTATTGAATGGTAAGGGTTCTTTATATATTCTAGATATAAGTCCCTTGTCAGATATATAATTTGCAAGATTATTCTCCCATTATGTGCATTGTATTTTCACTTGTCCTTTGTAGCACAAAAGTTTTAAATTTTATTTAAGTCTTATTTATCTATTTTTTCTTTTTTAAAACTTTTATGTATTTATTTTGAGAGAGAGAGAGAGAGAGAGAGAGAGAGCAGGGTAGAAGGGCAGAGGGAGAGAGGGAGAGAATCCCAAGCAGGCTCTATGCTCAGAGCAGGGCCCAACGAAGGGCTTGATTGCAGGACCATGGGATCGAACCACATGAGCTGAAGTCACGAGTCAGACGCTTAACCAATTGAGCCATCTAGGCATCCCTGTCGATTTTTTATTTTGTTGCTTGTGCTTTTAGTGTCATTTTTTTTTTATTTTTTTTAACGTTTATTTATTTTTGAGACAGAGAGAGACAGAGCATGAATGGGGGAGGGTCACAGAGAGAGGGAGACACAGAATCTGAAACAGGCTCCAGGCTCTGAGCTGTCAGCACAGAGCCCGATGCGGGGCTCGAACTCACGGACTGCGAGATCATGACCTGAGCCGAAGTCGGATGCTTAACCGACCAAGCCACCCAGGCACCCCTAGTGTCATTTTTTAAAGGTGCTTTTAGTGTCCTTTCTAAGAATCCAGTAGGTTCTTTTTTGATTAGGACATAAACGCAAGGTCATGAAGGTTTAGGTCTATGTTTTCTCTTAAAAGCTGTGTAGTTTTAGCTCTTACACTTAGGTCTGAGACCTATTTTTAATTCCTTTTGTATATCGTGTGAGGTAGGGATCGAACGTCTGCATGTGGGTATCTCAGCACCATTTGTGGGAAAGACGACTGTTTCCCTATTGAATTGTTTTGGCACACTTCTAGAAAGTCAACTGACTATACATGTGAGGGGTTATTTCTGGATTCTCAATTCTACTCCACTGATCTGTGCATCCATCCTTGTTTTGGTACTATGCTGTCTTGATGACTGTAGCTTTGTAGTAAGTCTTGGAACCGGGAAGTGTGAGTTCTCCAACTTTGTTCTTTTTCAAGATTGCGTTGTTACTGAGTGCCCTTTTATAAGTGGTTTCCCCATCTGAGAAATGGGGGAAATTCCTCTGAGAAATGTCTGTGATGGGAGAAAGATACAGCAGAGAAAGATGGTAAGTGACAGGAGGCCACCGAGGACAGCTATCCACATTAAACCCTCACCCTGGCCCGGGACCTACCAGAAAGCAGCTGGGTGAATGAGCAAGATTTTGCTTCCCTGTTCCCTTCCTCATGCTTGGGATGGGCTCTATCTGGGCTTATATATACTCTGCTTGTTGGGTTGAATTGAATGTCTGGTAAATAATGTAATTAACCCGGGAGTTGATGATAGGTCCAATTACCCTCTGCAGCAGAGGTGTTGGGAGGCATTTCAGGAACGTCCAGCTATGAGGCTGGGATCTGAGAATAAGGCAAAAGGGACAGTTGGACTTCCTCCAACCCGAGGACAATGTAGTTGCCCTGGGCTTGTCACTGGTTCAGTGGACCTCCATCACACAACGGAGAGAACAATCCTCACCCTGCCCACCTCGCAGAGATTGTTATGTCCATGTAACATCTTCCGGAGAGCCTTCCCTGACTTCCCACGGCTGAGTTGGGTCTCTCTGCTCTTGGCGCCCATAGCCCCTGCGAATTCCTCCATCATAGCCCTTCCCACTGTGCACTGTAAATAACTCCTTTTCTCTCTGTCTCCTCTGGTCTGTGAGCTCCACGAAGACAGGAGCTGGGTTGGCTTCATCTCTGTGGCCCCAGCAGCCAGCACCCGCCATAGGGTAGGTGCTCAATCCCCGTCTTTGTTAGACCGAACTGAACTGAACGTGCTCTGAACACATGGTAGGGCCTGGCTTTCCCCGGCATGGGTGATGCTTCCCTTCGGGGCTCATGAGAGGAAAGCTTCCTACCTGTCGCGGCCACATGGTGAGGCCACACAGCCACCGTGGGCTGCCTTCAAGCTGCTTGGCTTCCAGAGGGGAAGTGATCGAGCTCAGTGCTGATTACAGACACTACCCTGAAGTTCAGCTCTTGAGAGTTCAGCTCTTGAAGTTCAGCTCTTGAGCTCTTGAGGTCCTAGATGCTCTCCCAGCTGGAAGTCCTCTAACCCAATGAGTCTGGGTGCTTTACTCCTTGGATACCCAATTCTCCCCTGTGTTGTTCAGTACATATTGATGCAAGGAGTCAGAGTGTGAAAGAGAAAACACAGTGGCCCATCCCTAAATGGCCACTTGGTTTTGGGATGTAGCCAACTGAACACACGCACACATTTACTCACCCGTTCGCTGAGCACCTACTCTGTGCCAGAACTTGTGCTGCTGAATACAGGGTCCACAGGTGACAGGGACAGGATCCTTCAAGAGGCTCACAGTCTGGTGGGAGAGCAGTCATATAAACCGAATGGTGAGAATGTGAAGGGGTAAGATCGTCAGTGTGGGAGTGCACCCTCCCTGCCCCTCTTCATACCTCTCCCCTCCACCTTTGAAGGGAGTTCTGTCTTTGCCACTCCAGGACTTAAGGGGAATGAGAGACGGGATCAAAGAAGCAGGAGGAAGAAATCTCATTTTCTGGGTCATTTCTCAATTTCCTCTTTGTTGTGGAGAATCAGGGTAATGAGCAAAGTTGAAATTAGAGGGTAAATCAATTCACACAAAGAGAAAATAACTTCACACCCCCCAGGATGGCTGTGATCAAAGAAAGTGGAAAGTAAGTATTGGTAAAGATGGGGGGAAATCGGAACCCTTGTTCATTGCTGGGAGGAACATAAAATGGTGTAGCCACTATGGAAAACAGTTCAGTGGTTCCAGAGAAAGCTCAACATAAAATTACCATATGGCCCAGCAAATCCACCTCCAGATATGTATATACTCAAGAGAATTGAAAACAAGGACTCAAACAAATCAGCATCATTCACAGTAGCCAAAAGGTGGAAACAACCCAAATGTCCATCAACAAATAAATGGATACACAAACTGTGAAATGTGCACACCAGGGAGTATCATTCAGGCATCAACAGGAATGAAGTTCTCATAGATGCTAGGACAGGAAGGAACCTTGAAAACATTATGCTGAGAAATAAACCAAGCACAAAGGCCTGATAACTGTATGATTCCACTTATATGAGGTATCTAGAATAGGCAAATTCACAGAGACAGAAAGTAGAATAAAAGCCACCAGGGGTTGGGGGGAGCGGAGAAATGGGGTGTTATTGCTTAATGAGTACAGAGTTTCTGTTTGGGATGATGAAAAAGGTTCTGGAAATAGTGGTGATAGCTCTATGCAATACCGTGAATGTACTTAATTCCACTGAATTGCACACTTAAAGACGGTCAACATGGTAAAGTTCATGTTATGTATATTTTGCCACAATACGAAAGGTTTCTGTTGTTGTTTTTTAATTTATTGTTGGAGAGAGAGAGAGAGAGAGTGCGAGAGCATGGGGGAGGGACAGTGAGAAAGGGAGACAGAGAATCCCAAGTAGGCTGGGTGTCGTCGGCACAGAGTCCCACGCGGGGCTCGAACCCAGGAACCGTGAGACCATGACCGGAGCTGAAATCAAGAGTCGGCCGCTCACCGAGTGAGCCACCCAGGCGTCCCTAAAAAAGATCTTTTAAGAGGTTAGATTAATTCTATGATAAAGTACTTGTACAGAGTGAATAAAAGGAGAGAGAGGGAGGAGAGGGGAGTTGGGGGTGGAGCAAAGCTTCGGTGGAGCAAAGCTCTCCGCATAGGACCTGGCAGGTTGTAAGCACTTACTAAATAATTGTGGAAGAAATGAGAGAATGGTACAGGAGAAGGCGTTTGGAGAATTTGACTATGGTGGGACAATATGTATCCCCGTAACATTCTATGAGAAATTCGAACCAGGACTGGGTTTTTTTTTTTAACGTTTTTATTTATTTTTGAGACAGAGAGAGACCCAGCATGAACAGGGGAGGGTCAGAGAGAGAGGGAGACACAGAATCGGAAACAGGCTCCAGGCTCTGAGCCGTCAGCACAGAGCCCGACGCGGGGCTCGAACTCACAAACCGCGAGATCATGACCTGGGCCAAAGTCACCGGCCTCCTGAGCCACCTGGTGAGCCCCTCTTTTTTTTTTTTATGTTTATTTATTTATTTTATGTTAATAAGAGTGAAGCGCGTGAGAGAACCATAGAACTCCACTGAATGAACCCCAAGACAGACACCCCTTTTTAAGGGGGGATTGTTTTTTAATTAGTTATGTTACTAAACTGGCTTTTGAAAGGAGTCTAGCCACACTGGGCCTCAGGCATGTGGTACAGACACGGGTGGAGGGGTCAGGGCATCCCAAGCACTTCTCAAGAGAAGTAGCCTCAGGGAATCATCTGAGGAGAAGGAAGGCCGCAGGAAGAGCAGAGGGAAGAGAGAGGCTTCAGGGTGAACTGCGGTAGGTAGATCCAGCCTGGAATCTCAGCCAGCTGGGGCCCAGTGATGGTGATGCCACAACCGAGAGCCGAGATTGCAGCTGGGTCTGTACCCAAGCGACCCTGCTGCCCTTATCTGCCTTGCTGGCGGGAAGCCCCGCCGCCCTGCTGTCTCTTGGACCTCATTGCTTCGGCTCTAGAATCCTTCGGCCGCACGTCTGGAGCCAGAGCGGCCAGCAGAGGGCGCGCGGGAGACAAACGGGCGGAGGACCGCAAGCCGCCGCTCTAGCCTGACCCGGGCCATAGAGTCGCGCCGCTTCCGGCCCCGCTGCCGGGAAGGAGCCGGAAGTCCGGCGGGTTCCGGGCGTCGCGATGGAGGAGGGCGAGTACGAGTCGGTGCTCTGTGTCAAGCCGGAGGTGCACGTCTACCGCATCCCGCCGCGAGCCACCAACCGTGGTTACAGGTGACCGCTCGCCGCCGGCCCGGGCTAACCCCGACTTAACCCCTTCCCCGCCGGCCGACACGCCCACTGGGAAGCCGAGGACGGCCCCGGCGGCTGTAGGGGAGAGGCGGGAGGTAATGCCGCGGCTTCTCCCAGCTCGAGGCCAGAGCAGCAAGAGGGACCCAGACTTTGGGCCGTCTCAGTCCCAAGCACGGGGCTCCCGGCGCGCGGAAGGCGTTAAAGCCGCGTCTAGCCTGTGGGCTGCCGGGTACCCTGAAAGCGGCTGGGAGTGGGGGTTTCACAAGACCTTTTCTTTCAGCGCCAACTGGCCTTGGAAGGAACCTTGAAAAGCCTGAAGGGGGAGGGGTCCTATCGCAGGCGGAAATCCCCAGGGGAAGGAAGGGAGCCGAGAACCGGCCAAAATGACCCGTCCGAGCCGGAAGCGGGGGGCCAAAGCCCGGGGACCCCTCCCTGCCCAGCCCCCTTCCCACGAACCTCAGACCCTGTCACAGCCTGTGGCGGTTGGGAGGAGCCCATCCGCGCGTCTCCGGTGATAAACAGGTGCTTGTAGCGTCAGGAAGGGAACGCAGGACAGTGGGGGTTGGAAGGAGACTTCCTTTCAAGGCATCCTTTTTTTGTACTGTTCGCATTTTGTTACCATGTTGGGTGCGTTGCCTGTGAAAAGAAGCAGAAGAAAAGATGTACCTGTTACAGACCGCCTGATCTGTGGCTATTTTGTGCCACTGGGTTGGGGGTGGGGTCGCTCTTGAAGGCCGTGTTTGTCTAAGTTGTTTGGAGATACAGGATTGGCCTGCACCGCGAGAACGGTGGCGCGTCCGCATCTCTGGCCTCTTGTTACTCTCCAGTTGTGTTAATGCGGACTCGTAGCTGATTTTCTAGAGAACAGATTCTTTTCTTGAACACCTATTACATCCGTGATGTAACTTAAAAAGAGTATGAAAGCAACAATAGGAACGATGACAAAAACATTCACTTTCTGTCGTCGGACTGGAGGTGGGACACCAAACCGGGGATGGTCATCGACTGCGATCCCCTTAAGTAGGATGGACTTTGTCCCTCCTGGTCCCCCAGAGAGTGAGTCTCCCAAGTGTCGGGGCTGGCTGGTGTGGTGTAGAGGAAACTGGCAGTCCCTGCATTTCATCCTCAGAGCTCTGCTGGGCTTGAATCTAAGGCCTGTGTTGCCCCATTAAGAGGAACCGAAACTGAGTCCGCGGACTTGTGAATTGAGAGTCTGCATGTGCACGTTATGGTGTCGCTCAAAGGCCTGACTTCTTCTGCTCAGGGACTTCCAAGAAAAGCCTCTTGGAAACACCCAAGGTTCTTGGTATTTGGGGGTTTTACTGAACTGCTTCTTAGAAATAAAATGTGCAGTTGCTGCCTTAAAAGTCCCCCAAGAAGGTCCATGAGGTCCTGTGGTTCTTTCTGCCTAGCACACCTTTGTGGAGGGACGCTTGGGTGGCTCAGTCGGTTAAGTGCCTGCCTTCAGCTCAGGTCATGATCTCACGGTTCAGTTCGAGTCCCGCATCCAGATCTCTGCTGTCTGCGCGGAACCCACTTCAGACCCCCTGTCCCCTTCTCTACCACTCCCCTGCTGGCTTTCTCTCC